TAATTTTTTTGGGGTTTTTTTTTTAAAAAAAAAAAAAAAAAAAAAAAAAAACCCCCCCCCCCCCCCAATGATTTATATATAAATGTTTTTACCACTGAATTTCAATGGCCCACTAGCTCACTGTGTAGTTTTTAGGACTGCAGCTATAAAATATTTTGGCATTTGGATATCCTACTGAAAATCGGAGTAATCAATAACATTCAAAAATAACAATTTTGCTTGTTTAAGGAACAATTATGAATACGGAAGACAAAATATCACATTGCACTTCATAATGAACAATCAAAAAAACTAGTAAGTGAGATTTTAGGTTATGAGACAAAGTGACGTCAGAACCCAGCCATCCATCCATTTTCGAATGCGCTTATCCTCACGAGGGTGGCAGGCATGCTGAAGGCTATTCCAGCTATCTTCGGGCAGTGGGAGGGGTACACCCTGAACTGGGTGATAGCCAGTTGCAGGTCACACATAGACAAACAGCCACTTGCGCTCACAGTCACACCTAGGGACAATTTTGAATGTTGAATTCAGGGATGGTGAATGTTTTTGGCATGTGGGAGGAAACCCAGAGAAAACCCACGCAAGGACGGGGAGAAATTTCACACAGGAAGGCCGGGGCCTGGAATCCAACCCTTACACTTACCATGAGTTCACTGTTTAGTAGTTTGGTTGCCGTCCTTGACTACTATTTTTCATGCACTCGGGTGAGGGGGCAAATCGCAGTATGTGGTCATTTTTGGATATTTCAAACTTTTTGTTGTTGAAGGCTGGATTGTTTAGACATGCATTGTGCATGAAATACATTAAGATACTGTGATATACATTGGTTCAATAAAAAACAAAAATACATGTATTTTGTCCATATTTGAAATGGCATTATTGTCATGCATCTGGTTGAGAAACGTATGGTGTATGTAGCCCCCCCCAGCATGAAAACTTGTGACCCCCTCCACCATTTAAGTTGCCCATCCCTGCTTTACACCATGTTACCTTGTACTCTATCCACATGTGGTCTAATGGAAATGCTCGAGTCCTGCCCACCGAGTACAAGTCAAAGTGAATGAAGAGTTGATGATGTGCTCAGAATCCAATTTTTTTTGTTTATTGTATGTCTGTGTTTGTGTGTGTGTGTGCGCGCGTGTGCGTGCACGTGTCTTGTTCAAATGCTGACAGCATTGTGTTTTGTCCCAGATATGGTGGCTTGAAGGTGACATCTGTCTGCGAGGTACAGGGGAGAGTAGAGTGCTTGCTAGGATGCTATAAATACACGTGAGGCGTGACAGCTCACAGAGGAAGCAGCTGAGAAGAGAAGCTTTGCTGTGCTACATACCTCCGAGTGACCCTGTCACTTCCACAGAGGTCTTAATTATGCTGCACTGGGAGCTCCCCTCTGCTCACTGCTGGAGACGTGACGCACAAGGACCTGTCAGCGGATAAGGCCATGTTTTTTCCCACCTGCAGACCATGCAAATATCAGTTTGGTCTAGTGTAAGTACAATCACCAGCCAGTGATATGCTGCTGAATTAAAAGGCAAGTTTGCAGTGTCAAAAAAGAAAACATTTTTTTAACCGTCATGATAAGAAAATGATCTGTGAAAAAAGTAAGGCCCCATTGTGTACCTCTAACTTTAGTTTAAAAAAAAAAAACACAGCATCCAAGGATAAACAAATAATCACAGGCCAAAGCTAACAGGTGGTGTTTATGTTGGGTGTAATTATAATGTATGCCACTAGATGGTGGGACACTATTGTTTTTAACACTGTAAATTTGAAAGAAGAAGAGTGAAAAAAGGAAGTAGTTCAAGGTCAGCCTCATTTTTTGTTCGGTAGATTTGAAAGAGATGATGAAATGTCTCAGTCATTTCCCATCCTGCGTTTTACGCCTACAGCGGCTTTTGATTCATTTTATTGATGTATATTGTGAGAAGGCAAGTTATGAGTTAGTTTGGAAGAAGCAAGACATCGAGGGATATGGACAATGTTATACTGTTTGTACAATATTTTCGTCATATTTATTTATCGCTCACTGTCAATATGTTTAATGTTTTCAAATGTCTTTGTATAATTTTGAAGTGTGTTATAAAAATGCCATTTCATCGAGAAATGGTGGGGAGAGTGCTGTATGGGCTGTATATGCATAATTTGAGGAAACTATTTTTTAATGACACCACATTTGCTAATCAGGTACTAGCTTTTTGTGTACGTGTTGGGGTGACACTCAATGGCACCAGTGGATAGATTACCTAATACAGTCCAGGCACGTTATTAGACCCCAAGGCACTGGCTAAGTCACTCTTGAGTTCTGTTTCTGCCCTTTTAATTATTCATCAAGGTATTGCCTGGGATGTAACCTCAATTACCGCGGGCTGTGAGGCCAGGTCACGTGTTGTTAACACTGTGCCGTGATCAGAGCCACCACAGGGAAGCCTGCCAAGGGGGAAGAAGTGCACTGTGGCCTGGTCCTCCATCCAACGGCGCTGATTGGTTTGGCTAGGTTGCTTCCTGCGGGGAGGGACGGGCCATTCCTCGCATTCCCTGAAAGCCACGGTGGGGGCAAGAGGATGGTGTAAATACTCTAAATCAAAGCTTGATTGGTGTGATCAGCCTGGTGCGAGCAGCCGTATGAGGCTAAAGGAGGAGGGGCTTGGGGTGGCGGGGGCAAGAACAGCTGAGGGTTTGAATGGGATTAGCAGAGATGTGAGCTCCCCTTCCGAGGACACCTGTAGTCAACTGACAGGTGGTGCAGCTTGCATTTTGGAAGCCGAGGCTGGGAGTAGTAGTTGTTCAAGTCACAGTTGTATAGAAATAGAAAAAGCTTGGCTAGCTGTTAGCTTATTTGGGAACAATATTGCTGTGTCAAACTCTCCTGTTTTGTCATTTTTATTATGGTGACAGACTTTGGGGACACGTTACAGAAACACTCAAACAAAAACCATAAACAATTTCTGAAGTCCAGCGACAGCGCAAGCTTCAGATCGCTTCTTAATTTGGGCGCCGCTCCGTTTAACGTCAGACTCACTGAAGATTTACAAGAATAAATATTTACGAATGTCAGCCCAGACTATTTTCAAAGCAGGTCAAAGAGAGAAAAAAAAAATCGCTCTTTCAAATCTGAGAAGTTGAGAGAGTAGCTCCAAATGGGACAAACTTGGTCAAGAATTTCGCTGGAATTTCACCATTTCAGACATAAATAGCAGTGGCTTTTTTTCTACAAATAATAATATTTTAAATAACTTCTATCGTACGTTTTGTATTGTAGAATTGTAGTAATATCGGTAATGTGACTCAGTTATTCCCGTTTATGTTAACAACAGATATTCCCTTATTAGTTTTTACCTGGAGGTTCAATTAAGTCGTCTCTCCAGACATCATGTTTGGACAACGTGCAAGCTGCTAATTAAGCAGCTTGTTCTCCCACAGGTAGCGAAGGTCACAATACAGCTTCGCCCATGTGGATCCAGCAGATAAGCTTTGTCTCGCCGCTTTTCATTATGCTTCAAACCAGAAAAACCTGAAGTAAACCCGCATGATGAATTTCTGGACAGGAAATGCAAACGCAATGCGAGGCGTGTGAGCCGAGTAGATTATCTATAGCTGCAGTCCTGCTGCTTCCCCGGGATTGTAGCTTTTATTATGGAGTGTTTTATTGCTGCCAGGAGTAAAGCTGACAAGGAAGCGGCAGCTATAAAATGAAGCCTCCCATTCTTGATTGTCTGCCACCTCCTGTGGCGGCTCTGCAGTCTTTATGCATGTGTGTCCATGTCAACTCTTAAGTACTTGCAGGGGATTGATGTGCATTGTGGGCTTGTTTGTTTACTCAGTTGGTAGGAGATGAGAGGATGAATCTCCGAAATAGACCAGCCATCAGTAAAACTTGGTACTAAATATTCAAATGGGGTACGAGGCACCGTGGAACATTGAACGTTGAATGACTGACTTTAGTGCAGTACAGTGCAAAAATAAAAAAAAGAAGTAGGCTATTGAAATTATCTTCTGGGTTCCTGCACGGTATCGCACATGCAAAGAATTTGATCTGTCATTGGGGTTTTGCTTTTTCTTTGACTTTTTGGAAAAGCAGGACTGGCTTTCACAAGAAGAAAAATATACAAACGTTTTTGGAGTAAGAGCGCCCATGGACGTTTACCACTTGGTATCCAAGTTGAGGCTGAATATTTAGTTTTACTGTATTTTATTCATGACAAGATATTTCTCCCACAACATCAAGACCGCTACGCGAGCTGTGTGTGTGTCGTGAGGCACTCGAAAAATGTGAGCTTCCCACTTTTATGATATTTTGCCACAGTATATTGTGACATCATTTATGAACAGATACTAACTGGCATGCATGACTACCATCCACCATTTTAGCATGGCACTAATGGGACAGCATGAACAGTGTTTGATGACTTTCAGGCTCTTTATGCTGCCCTAGAGTAATAAAAAAGGAAAAAGAAAAAAAGACGACACTGCATTCGCGCAGTAACAACTCCCCTTGGTGTGATTCTTAGCTGGCAGTGGATTTTTTCCCCCCACTTTAATCTTGTAAATAGCATTGCGTTCTCTTTCAAATCATTCCCCATTCTCTTTGCCCATTGAAATGAATGGAAATGCCATTAATGCGTTCTTACCCCCGCAAAAAACATCCAAAAGTTTATTAATGTGCTTTTTAATAATGAAAATATCACTCTTTAATCATTGACTTTGTCAAAATAAGTATTTCAATAGAATGTAAAGATTTCATGGCAGCTTCTTTTGGTGTGTGGGACTTGGCCATCAGTAGAGTGTAGTACAGACACAAACAAAGAAGAGTTTCACATCTACTGGAAGTGACTCAGTAAACTGCAGTAATACTAGTCGTTTATTCCCAAACGACAAAGAATATATGTCTGTGAGTATTGTTAAATTGTAATATTTATGTTCAAATCTTTGTTGCTTATTATAGCATTGCCACATGCATGCAATTCATTTGCCCGTTTATGCGTTAGCATGAAGCTAGCAGGCGTTAATGGTTATGTGGTTGTTTTAAATACACGACATCATTCTTTTTTTTTTTTGGGTGGAGTTTGATTGTAAACTTCAAGGGGGAGTGGAAGTTTCTTGTTTTAAGAATTCTTTACTGTCAAACTGCTGCTTGTTGTCAAGTGAATTGAATTCACTGCCCTTATAAAGCTTGTATCTCAAATTTTTGCTTGCAAGTCCAAGCAAAAGCGGCACAATGTTTGAGTCCAGATTGGGAGGATAAGATAGTCCTCAGAATAGGTAGTTGCGTGCAGTAGTACTTCATTTGTTCTATTTTAGATCATTTATTTTGATGCCAAACAATGATGCAACATCGTGTGCACTACTCACTGAAAAAAATAGTTTCAGGATCAGCATATTCTGCAAGAATGTACAACATGCTCATTCCTGCTATTTATGTTCAGCTGCTCTGTGAGAATGACCCATCTTTATTTTTGTTAAATCACTACATTACACTACAGCAACTCATTTAAATGTAATCAGCGTGTGTGTGTACTTTTATACTTCCAGGAAGACATTTCTTTATTTGGCTCCTTACTCTTTGGCATCATGCAGGAAAATAAAGTCACAATGTCACAGCACTCGATCCAGTGCCACTTTCCAGCTTCTAAAAATGACACTTATGTACTTATAATTAGTTTGACCAAATACATTTTAGGGTAATTGTAATTACGGCGTGTGCTGCGAAGCAACATTCCTGTGTGTAATAGAGATGTGATTTGTGGGCACTGGAGAGTAAACAGCCTCCCCTGACTGGGACATTCGAGCTAATAACACAGTAGATGGTTAGACGTTGTGGTTTTCTTCCCATATTGGACAGAAATATTGTGCCTTGTGTTTCGGTTCAATGGTGAACCATTTAAGGCCACAACCTTTTCCTATCTTGAACCTTGGGGTTTCAAAACATAACCACCAAAATGACATCCATTTGCTAAAAACAAACTCGTCGGTTATTTTAGATAATATCACCGTTGTCACATTTAAGGCTGCAAGGTTTGACTTCATCTGCATTTTCGGTTTATCCAGCACAGTTGTGACATGCAGTGAGCCAGTTCCCGATGCCTACTCCCTGAAAATGCAACTTCTTTTCTGACGATCCACTGGCATGGCCGGGTTTAGAGTGCCTCGTCGTCTGCCGCGAGTGTGTGCACATCAAAGAAAAGGCGGAAGAGTGGGGGGGGGGGGATTTTCTAATACACCCAGGGTCAAAAGAGGTCAAAACTAGCTTGGGCTGCCTCTTTAATAACAGCCTTCAGAAAACAAGAAGCCAACAGATGTTCAGTTTGAGGGAAAATTATATCTGTTGCATAGACCGCATGTGTTTATGTGCTTGTTGTTGTGTTCATGCTTCCTTCCAGTAAAGGCAACCGGAAGGTGTCTGTGGTGCGAAAGCGTGTTTTCTCTCTTCTCTGATTACTGCCGTCCTGGCATCTGACGCCCAGTAATGGAGACGTGGCTGTCAAGGAAATTTGTAGCTGTCTGCTGATAGCACTGCTCTTCATTCCAATCAACAGCTGTCAAGCCAGCCAGGGTCGTTATTAATGACAGCCACTAACTGCCTCACAAATTCTCGACACTATTTGAGAGGCGGCGTGAAATAAGGTTACGCTCGCCTCGTGTGCTGCAGGGGGGTTTGTTGCCTTCATCTCAGATATCAAAAAGCTCCTCTTCAAAAGCTCCTCTCTGGAGTTTGGGATTTTTAGAACAATGATTTGAAAGAATGGTCATTGGGAAAAAGAGCTCGACAGAAACTTAACATGAAACGAATTGATGGGCCACCAACCACTTAGGGAAGGCTCCATACCAGGAAAAAACACGACTCACTTTGACTTTCACTGATGCCCCCCCCCCCACCCCACACACACACACACACACACACACACACACACACACACACACACACACACACA